TGCAGTGCTTTAACCCGCTGCACCACCAGGGAGGGCCTCATTCTTTTTTTTTATGACTGAATACTATATAGATTATATCACATTTTTAAAATCCATTCATCAGTTGATGAATGTAAACATTTGTATATACGTTTTCTGTGTTCCTGTGTTCTTATTTCTCTTGGGTTTACAGGTAGGAATAGAACAGCTGGTTACATGGTAGCTTTTTTTTTTTTTTTTAAATACTGCCATGGTCTTTTCCAAAGCAGCTGCATTATTTATGTCCTATTTCCCATTCCCAGCCACATATTGAGGGTTTCAGTTTCTCCACATCTTTGTCAACACTTGTTATCTGATTGTAGCCATTATATTGGAGGTGAAATAGTAACTCATTATGTCTTTGATTTGCCTTCCCCTAATGACTAACAATCTTGAGCATCTTTTCATTTTCTTGCTGGCCATTTGTATATCTTCCCTGGGGAAAAGTCTCTTTGAATACTTTGCCTACTTTAAAATTGGATTGCTTGTCAAAAAAAAAAAGATGCATGACTATTAGCAAAAAAAAAAAAAAAATGGATTGCTTGTCTTTTCTGATAGAGTTGTAAGAGTTCTTTATATATTTGACTATGCAGATATTTGCATCTCTAAATATTTTCTCTCATTCTGTGGTTTTCCTTTTTCTCATAAGGTCCTTTGAAACATGGCATTTTTAATTATAATAAAGTCCAACAGATCTATTTTTTGTTGTCATTGCTTGTGGTAGTGTATCCGGTCTATGAAGCTGTGCCTAATCCAAGGTCACAAAGTTTTACGAGAATGTTTTCTTATAATACTTTTATAGCTTTTACATTTAGGCCTCTGATACTTTTTGAATTGTTTGTATATGGTGTGAAGTAGGAGTCCAACTTTATTCTTTCACATGTGGATATCTAGTTGTCCTAATCGCATTTTTCAAAAAGATTAATTCTTGCCCTCATTAGATTTGGTGCACCTGGCAAAAATTAAGTGGCCACATATTTACAGGTTCATTTATGAAATCACATTTCTATTCCATTGATCTTTATGTCTGCCCTTATTTTAGTAACACTGCCTTGATTTCTGTAGCTTTTCAGGGAATTTTTTTTCTAAGATTTATTTATTTATGCATATAAGAACTGGAGTACAGAGGTGTTGAGGCGATGAGAGAATTTACCCCAGAGACAGAGCAGGGAGCAGAACAGGCAGATTGACTGAAATACACTGCTGAGGAGAGCAGTGGGTGAGACAGGAGAGGTCTGCTGCTCCATGTGGGTCAGCTCCCTGGCTGGGCATTGAACTCGTGCTGTAGTCATTGCGATAGCTTCACAGTGCTGTGCTTATTAACTTGTTGTGCCACCAGATAGGGCCCAGTTTTCCTTTTAAAAGAAAAAAGAGATTTTATTTACTTAGTTTTGTGTAGAACTGGGGTGCATGCCAGGGGTGCAGGGAGTGAGAGGATTCACCGTATCAGAGTGGGGAGCAGAATAGGCAGCCTCATATCAGCTTCCCTTTATCCTTATACTTTTGTACTCTTCTTCTGCTGGCTTGCTCAGTGTTGTAATTCTACCTTCCTTCCTCATAGGCATGGATGTTGTAAAGGTTGGGGGTCCTGTCTATAGGATTGGAGTTGGAGGTGGAGCTGCTTCATCTGTGCAGGTAAGTGAGAACAGCCTCAGATGCAGATTCCATGGTATAATGACTCCACTGGGCCCCCTCTGTGGATGGAATATAAGCTCTGGTCTCCTAAGCTAAGCTGCTATATGTTTCCCCAGGTGCAGGGAGATAACACTAGTGATCTGGACTTTGGGGCTGTACAGCGGGGAGACCCAGAGATGGAACAGAAGATGAACCGTGTGATCCGGGCTTGTGTAGAGTCCCCTAAAGAAAACCCCATCTGCAGTCTCCATGACCAGGGTGCTGGTGGCAATGGTGAGAGAAGGAGTCTCGGGACAAGGGGCCAGGCCTACCTGGTATCCTGCTATGTTTGATTTAAGGAGAGTTGTTAAGAGTCTGTGCAACCCACCTATCTACCATTGGGTCCCGTATTCCACCCTCTACATTTTTTTTTTTAAGATTTATTTATGCATACAGAACTGGGGTACAGGCCAGAGGTACAGGGGCAGTGAGAGGATTCACCAGAGGCAGAGCAGAGAGCCGAACAGGCAGATCGATGAAGTATACTGCTGAGGGGAGCAGCAAGAGGCAGGAGTGGTCTACCCTGCTACGTGGGTCACTTCCCTGGCTGGGAATGGAACTCATACTGAGCTGCTGCTGCTAACTTCGTAGTGCTGCACTTTAACCCGCTGTGCCACCAGGGAGGGCCCTCTACCCTCTACATTCTGAGCAGCTTGGGGGTGGAAGCTTATGGCCAAGTGATGTTTGTGGTATAGTTCATGTGAGGACATACAGAATTAGGGGTTCCTTTGGAAGCTGGGGATTGCCCTTTGTTCCCCTTGTGGTAATCATGGCCAGATTGCCTCCTCTGAAAACCTCTCACCAGGCAATGTCCTGAAAGAATTGAGTGACCCAGCTGGGGCCATCATTTACACCAGCCGCTTCCAGGTAGGTCTCGTTCTCTGGAGTCTGGTTACCTCCCCATGCTGCCTGTTCCAGCTGTCTCCTCTAGTTTCCCCCCACTCTTAATACAAACTTGAGACTTGACAAAAACTCACCCATCTCTCCTCCTTCCTCATGGACGTGCAGCTCGGAGACCCAACTCTGAATGCCCTAGAAATCTGGGGGGCTGAATACCAGGAGTCAAATGCACTTTTGCTGAGGCCCCTCAACCGGGACTTCCTGAATCGTGTCAGTGCCCGGGAACGCTGCCCAGTTTGCTTTGTGGGCACCATCACTGGAGACAAGAGAGTGAGTTTACCCAGGGTGTCAGCAGCAGGTGCTGTGAGTGGGCTCGTGCTGCTTAGTTATAGCCAGAGGAATAGTGGTTAAGGGAAGAGATGAGAGGAAGATGGCAGCTGGTGGCAAGCATGCTGTGGGGAACAGGATGTTGGAGACTATAGGTGGGGGGCTGTGATAGGTGGGGTCTCAATAGAGGAAGCCACACAAGGTGGAAAGAGAGTTTCTGTTCTGCTTTCAAGAAGTATTCACTAGTCTCATTCTCTCTGGGCGGTCTGTAGATAGTGCTGGTGGATGATCGGGAGTGCCCTGTGGGAAGAAATGGCCAGGGTGATGCCCCGTCCGGGTCTCCCCCAACCCCTGTGAACCTGGAGCTGGATTGGGTGCTGGGCAAGATGCCTCGAAAGGTATGTGGGTGGGGGTGAAGAAGCTACTTTACTCCTTTAATTCAGCCCAGCATTTCAGACCTCACTTTATCCTACATGGAGTCATTATTCTGTGTTCCAGTGCTCCCTCAGCTGCTCACATCATGTCCCCATTTGTGTTGCAGGAGTTCTTCCTCCAGAGGAATCCTCCCGCGCTGCAGCCTCTGGCCTTGCCCCCTGCGCTGAGTGTGCGCCATGCTCTAGAGCGTGTTCTGAGGCTCCCTGCTGTGGCTAGCAAACGCTACCTCACCAACAAGGTGTCCCTGTACCCCTGTTTCTGCCCCCTTAGACCTCTGCTCACCTACCCTTCACTTTCTACCCCTGGGGACTGCTGTCCCTTCACCAGGCCCAAGGAGGAAGGGACAGGGAAAATACAGCCACACCATTGGCCTGATCCCCTGCTAACCCATCCTCTGAATGAAGCTCTTGTCTGCATGTTCGGGACAGAGCAGGCCTTCCGCCAGCTGTGTCTCTGTCCCTTGGCCTATTGCCAATCCTGTCTGGTTCTGCAGGTGGACCGCTCCGTGGGTGGCCTGGTGGCACAGCAGCAGTGTGTGGGGCCCCTGCAGACTCCTCTGGCAGATGTGGCAGTTGTGGCACTGAGTCATCAGGAGCTCGTTGGAGCTGCAACTGCCCTAGGAGAGCAGCCAGTCAAGAGCCTACTGGACCCGAAGGTTGCTGCCCGGCTGGCTGTAGCTGAAGCTCTCACCAACCTGGTGTTTGCCCTGGTTACTGATCTCCGAGTGAGTACCCCGCTGCTTCTGCTCTACACCTTGGACATGTCCACATCTGCCATTCCCTTTTTCCCCCTCACCCTGTGTGTTCTTGACCTCCCAACCCTCTTCCCCCAGGCAGACCCTCCACATCTACCTTCCCTTCTAATGCTTAGTTCTGCCACTTCTAGGATGTGAAGTGCAGTGGGAACTGGATGTGGGCAGCAAAGCTCCCAGGGGAGGGCGCAGCTCTGGCTGATGCCTGTGAGGCTATGGTGGCAGTGATGGCGGCGCTGGGTGTGGCAGTGGATGGTGGCAAGGACTCCCTCAGCATGGCCGCCCGGGTTGGCTCTGAGACTGTGCAGGCTCCTGGTGAGATCTGGGGGCCATAGGTAGAGGGACAGGGCCTGCAAAGCTAGGTGGGTGCCTCACTCATATTCCTTGTTCGGCAGGGTCACTGGTCATCTCCGCCTATGCTGTCTGTCCAGACATTACAGCCACTGTGACCCCAGACCTCAAGCGTCCTAGAGGGAGAGGTATGGTTTCTGCTCCTTCCCCACAGCAGTGTGACTTCAGAGCCTTGTCCATTGGGGTCTGTGGTGTGTCTGGGCCCTTCATGTTGGCACTCACTGTGGGACTGGTGGCCATGTGTCTCAGCACATGCTGGCAACTTCAGTGCTGTGCTCAGTGATGGAGAGGGGTTCTTCTGTGTGCCCTTCTCCTCTCATGCCTTTCCTGTCTCCCAGGCCAGCTGCTCTACGTGCCTCTGAGCCCTGGACAGCACCGACTAGGAGGCACAGCTCTTGCCCAGTGCTTCTCCCAGCTTGGTGACCAACCTCCTGATCTGGACTTTCCTGAGAACTTGGTGCGTGCCTTTAGCATCACACAGGGGCTACTGAGAGGTAAGTAAGGTCCTGCGGGAGATGATGGTGCATGGGGCAAGTGTGCCCCAGTGGAGCATGTGGGGTGAAAAGAACATGCACCCTTCTTTCTGTGCCTCTGAGTGCCCGCATTCTCTCACATACTGGCTACCAGCTCTCCAGAAGGGATGATGGCGCATTGAGGTTGCTGAACTTTTTCTTTCTTCTTCCTCTAGACCGCCTTCTCTGTTCAGGACACGATGTCAGTGATGGGGGTCTCATTACCTGCCTGCTAGAGATGGCCTTTGCTGGGAATTGTGGGATAGAGGTGGACGTGCCTGCTCCTGGGGTTGATGGTGAGGAGCCTGTTGTCTAGATTCAGGCCTGGGCTGCCTGTCCCATCCTATAAGCACCATCCTGTCAAAGAATGGAGTATCCCCAACCCCCTATTCCCTGTACTCTTGCTATCTTCTGTGATCACTCATCCAGCTGGCACCCACTTTTCCTGACTGTACCCCTCTGAGACCTCCCCCAGATACTAGTGCCACATCCTTGGTCCCATTCTCCCAAGCCTTACCTCACTCTTGTCTCCTGCTCCCTGATAGCTCCTTAATCACTCTCATGTCCCCGTGGCTCTCCTAGTACTGCCTGTGCTGTTTGCTGAGGAGCCAGGTCTGGTGCTGGAGGTACAAGAGCCAGATCTGACCCAAGTGCTGAAACGTTACCAGGATGCTGGCCTCCACTGCCTGGAACTGGGCTGCACTGGTGCCGCTGGGCCCCATGCCATGGTGAGGAAGTGAACTTCACAGCAGCTTCACCTCTGCAAGCTTCAGGTCTCAGGTTGGACATCCTTGCTCTTGGCCCCTAAAAGATGTGACCTTTTCTCCAGATCCAGGTATCAGTGAATGGGTCTAAGGTTCTAGAGGAACCTGTTGGGCAGCTGCGAGCCCTCTGGGAGGAGACAAGTTTCCAGCTGGACCGGCTGCAGACAGAACCGTGCTGTGTGGCAGAAGAAGAACGGGGGCTGAGGGAGCGGATGGGACCTAGCTACTGCCTGCCAGCCACCTTTCCCAAAGCTTCTGTGCCCCATGAGCCTGGTGAGGGATTGTATGTTTCTGTTTGGCCTCCTGGGCACCTTTTTTAAAAAAGATTTATTTATTTATTTATGCATACAAGAACTGGGATACAGGCTGGGGTTGGGGTGTAGGGTGAGAGGATTCACCAAGACAGAGTGGGAAGCAGAACAGGCAGATCCTCTGAAGTGCACTCCTGAGGGGAGCAAGCAGGTGAGACTGTGCCATGTGGGGCAGCTCCCTGGCTGGGGATCGAGCTTGTTCTGGCTGCGGATAGCAACATTGTGCTGTGCTTTAACCCCCTGCGCCACCACGGAGGGCTCTTCCTGGGCACTTTGAATCTGAAGGCCTACACTTAAAAAGATATCTAGGGTCTCTGCATAGGAAAGTAGTTCCCTGGCACAGGGCTGCTTCTTCCCCCCCAGGTGGTCCTACCCCCCGAGTTGCCATCTTGCGAGAGGAAGGCAGTAATGGAGACCGGGAGATGGCTGATGCATTCCATTTGGCTGGGTTTGAGGTGAGCAGGGTTACTGGCAGAGTGGGACAACGCTCAGGTGGTTTGTTTTTTGACCTTTCCCCTTCCCATCTTGCCAGGTATGGGACGTAACCATGCAGGATCTCTGCTCTGGAGCAATCGGGCTGGACACATTCCGTGGTGTGGCCTTTGTAGGTGGCTTCAGCTATGCAGATGTCCTGGGTTCTGCCAAAGGTGGGTGTCCAGACTTCTATTCCTTCTCCTTCCTGACACATTCCTGAAAAGATGCCTTCGCTCCCCCTTGTTTGACTGAGAATTGGCCTTTCATCTTCACCAGGCCAGGGGAGATTGGGTGCATTTATGCTGGGCAAGATGGCACTGTCCCACCATGAGAACCTACGTGTTGTCTAAAAGGGCAGCCAATTCCAGCAGACTGTTGAAAAAGCATAACCAGATATTTCTGATTTCCCAGCGAAGCAAAAAAAAACCCATATTTTTTTCATGAATCTTCTGTTAGGTAACGAAATAAAACCTTTTGAAAGTGCTCTGCTGGCCAACAAAAAAGCTGGCCCTCTTTTGGCTCAGGAGTTGGCAACATATGTATTACACCAATTAACCCATTTCTTCCCTCAAATTTGCTTTGAGCTGGAGACAGTGCTGGGAGTGTAACAATGCATGTTGGGGTGGAAGATTAGCTGTCTCCTTCATTCCAGGTCTCACCCCAACTTCTCTCTCCCCTTCTAGGGTGGGCAGCTGCTGTGACCTTTCATCCACAGGCTGGGGCTGAGCTAAGGCGCTTCCGGAAGCGACCAGACACCTTTAGCCTGGGCGTGTGTAATGGCTGTCAGCTTCTGGCTTTGCTGGGCTGGGTGGGAGGTGACCCCAGTGAGGAAGCAAAGGAGATGGACCATGGCTCCTGGCCAACCCAGCCTGGCCTTCTGCTCCGCCACAACTTGTCTGGGCGTTTTGAGTCTCGATGGGCCAGCGTGCGTGTGGGGCCTGGACCAGCCCTGATGCTGCGAGGAATGGAGGGTGCCGTGCTGCCTGTGTGGAGTGCTCATGGGGAAGGTCAGGATCCCAGAACACATGGGCGAGGGTTTGAGGGCAGGATGGGTGAAGGACATAAAGGAACTTTGCTTTTACTCTCCTTTTCCTTTCCTCCTAGGTTACATGGCATTTTCTTCTCCAGAACTCCAAGCCCAGCTTGAGGCCAAGGGTTTAGCCCCACTGCACTGGGCAGATGATGACGGGAACCCCACAGAACAGTACCCCCTGAATCCCAATGGGTCCCCAGGGGGCGTGGCCGGTGTCTGTTCCCTTGATGGCCGCCACCTGGCTCTCATGCCTCACCCTGAACGGGCTGTGAGGCCTTGGCAGTGGGCGTGGCGGCCTCCTCCATTTGACACTCTCACCACTTCCCCCTGGCTTCAGCTCTTCATCAATGCCCGAAAGTGGATCCTGGAAGGAGGCTGCTGAGCAGGCCAGGGTGGCTCATCAAGGCCTCTTGGTTTATGCTGCCAAGTATCCGCTGTCCTCTCCCTTATCTTCAGAGGTACCCCTTGTTATTTCCAAATATGTTTGGACAAACAAGGACTAAAATGCCAAAAAAAGGGCATCTATTAATATTTCCATACTTTACTTTAAGCTGTAGGATCTGTTTTTAGTTCTTCTGCTCTAATATGCTTTGGCCTCTATGAGCCCAGGAAATAGCAGGTGATTCTGAGAAAAGAGTCTGTGCAGGGGTGAGTTTGGCTACATGGGGAGGGGCTCCCACTGCTCCACTTCACTTGCTGATCACCATGTTGTGCCTGCGTCATTCATCTGGGCTGAAGGAATGTTTGAAGCCTTCCTTCCTGATATTGGAGTTCAGGGGTAAGGACCTCAGCATTCTATTCTGGGAAACAGAAGCTTCCTGGATTCCTTTTACAATATAGCTTATGGAAAGAAAGAAAGAAAGGAAAATATGGATGGTTTCACTCATAGCAGGAGTTTAAAGGACCAGGGGAGACCATAATAATAGTGAACAACTATATACCAGAGACATTTTACTGGGGTGGAATGGAATAAAAAATGGGGGGTAGGGGGGAGTTCACTGGACTATGGTGAATGGGAAGCCCATGGCATTACAACTGAGATGGAAAAAGGCACAAAATGATATAAAAATAAACTGTTATATTAGTTTAAACGCATGTATCTATATATAGATAGATAAATAGATAGATTATGGTAAGCAATTGTTTGTTTACAGAAGTTTCTCTGATAGAGTTTTTGTCTGCTTTGGTGCTGGCTTCTAAACTCCTAATTTAGCAGCTGCCTTCTGATAGAAGTGGTTCAGCACCCTCAACTTAGGCTTCACTCATTCATTCCAGTAGTTTGGTGATTAGCTATAGTGTCCAACTACTGTCACTGCCCAGGGGGTCATAGATTGGTAGAATTTATAGCAGTAATTGTATATGACACCTACTGCAAGCCAAGCATGTGTTATGCAGTTTATATGTGTCTAAATTAATTCAAAAGAATTCAACAATGCACTTAATCATTTTTTTTTTAAATAAAGGAAGAATTAAAGTTAAATGCATGGCCTAGGGTCACCCAGCTTGAAGGAGAGCCAGGAGCAGTGTTTTCATGCTTCATCTTTTCCCCACCATCCTGTGGTCACATTTCCTGGAAGCAACACGAGAGATCTTACTGACAGCTGGCCATTGTTCCTTCACTCACTGGAGTGTGTATAGGAGTCACTTCCTCATGAGTGTTTCATTGTAGAGCTGAAGTCAGTTTTCCCCCAGTAAACATTTTTTCTCTTGATTCTTTTTTTTATTACTCAAAAAACTTATTTAGCTTTCTGACTCTGTCATCAACACTTTCACAATAACTTTGTGCTCCTCAATAAAGAAAGTACATGGGTTCCTGTGACAGGTACACTTAGAACACATGGAGCCACCCTAGGTGTCCTGCTGACGTGTTTTATTTTACACAGCCTCATAAGGAACTTCAGGCCGTGGCAGGAGCCCATCAGATTGGCCTGGGTACAAGCCACATGTGGATTTTGGTGCTTTCCTATCCTTGATAGAGAGGTAAACAATCTATCACCAGGGACTTGGGACTGCCTAGTTTTGCTAGGGCAATGTTGAAGGATAAACTGTGAAGACTTATCAAATGCTAGAACATGCTGAATGCATCTCAATAACATCCTAAGAAGAGTTCAGTATCTTTTTAGGGCAATTTGTGCTTCATTGCTCCAGCAGGCTATTTGAGAGGGTGGAAGCAGGTGGAATGGGACCACATCCCACTCTGCCCTGTGCAAAGCCTACCCCGACCCCATGCTTCACCATGTAGTGGCAGTGGCTCATCATCTTAGACTTTATGTCCATCTAGCTAAAGGTCTTGCAGCTATAGATGCCCCATGCTGTCTACCTTTGTGGTAGTATGATCATGTGCCACAGGTGTGTCTTTCCAACCTGGGGCTTCTCCATGAACTATCCCTGTCATAGAATAGGGTTCAGTCACTGCTGAATCCAGGCACTGCTGCTGCATCAGCTGCTCAGAGGACATGTCTTGCAGCTGGTTGAGGTCCACACGTGCTGGTGAACTTGCAGAAGGTGTACTTCTCCACTCCTAAGATCTCAGTTTCTTCAGGAAAGTCAGCATCTTGATTAAAGAAATTTCCCAGAAAATGGAGACTGGAATCTCAGGTCTTTAGAGGCCTTTCTAAAGTACATTTTTTCAGAAAGAAGAGATTAAAATCCAGCATTTGCCTTCTTCTGCATAAATAGTTTCAACATATCTTTTTTAAGATTTTTTTTATGCATACAAGAACTGGGGTGTAGGCCAGAGGTGGGGAGGGTGAGAGGATTCACCAGAGACAGTGGGGAGCAGAACAGGCAAATCTACTGAAATATACTGCTTAGGGGCACAGTGGGCAAGACAGGAGAGGTCTGCTGTGCCGTGTGGGTCAGCTCCCTGGCTGGGGATTGCCTCATGCCTCAGTGACTGCTGATTCTTGGTAGTACTGAGACTAAACCCCTATGCCACCAGGGAAGCCCCCGTTTGAACATATCTTTAGGTCAAAATAACTTAAGACCCAAAACCCCTTTCCAAGATTACCTTTGTGAATTAATACTTTGCAAAGCAGAGTAAAAAGGAGACTGAGTGGCTTGACACTGAGAAGTACATAGGAACCTGGACAGGCTGTCATGGCATGTCATAAGTGTAGGAAATTCTACCTTGTGTAAGTTCTACGAATTTTAGATATTTTCTGTCACTTGTACCTTATCTGAGTGAACCTTTTTTTAACTTCCCTTCATTCTTCAAGGACATTGGCCCTTGGTTCATAGCCTAGCCTTCATCCCTTCTGTTATCCTGGATTTCTGTTCTACACCAACCATTTCACTTCCCCCAACTATCTTACCTTTTGTCATTACCCAGATTTGCCCCAACTGCAATCTTTCTTAGTTAAGTACCCTACCTCTAACTATAACTTTTCCAAAGTCATGAGGACCTCCAGCTCAACTACTTTCCCCAACCCATCTTTTCTTCCTCCTTCATATACCACTCTTTAGCCAAATTACTGTTCTAACTTATTTTTCACTATTAGTCTTAAACTGTGTGTTTCTGTCTTTAGGGGAGTAAATTCCACGAGAATAGGAATTAATTGTTGCTCTCCATTGTATCCTACTACCTGATATAGTGCCTATCACATGCTAGGTACCCAATAAATATGTTATATGAATGAAGTAAAATGAAAGAATTATAAAGGTTGATTTACTCGTTTCCTTAAAGAAGAGTGAACTTAATGAATTAAGTGTGATGGTGGCTTACCTTTGCAGATCCTCTCAAGCATTTACCCCCTTAGTTTTTCAGTCATTCAAAGTTACAGGTTCTTATCATTGCACCATATGGACATGGGTTTTGGAGGTGGCGGTGGGGAGATGGACAACCAGTAAGTCTTACCTCTTTCTTAATCTAACACCTACCTGGCAGTCAGCCAGTGCAGGAAGACCCAGCACTGAATGGGTGCGCATTAATCTAAGAGCTGGGGTGTAGGCCAGAAGTGTGGGTGGGTGAGAGGATTTACCCTCCAGTCACCATGTGTGTGCTAAGAGGAGCATTACTGGCAGTGCTGAATACAGGGAGAGAAATGTTTGCAAGGAGATCCAGATGGGAGAAGGCCACTTATTCTGGGGAGTTTCCACTCTCTCTCCAACAGGCCAGCCTGTCCCTAAGTGTCCCTCCAAACTGCAGCTGACAGACCCTGCCCAAACTAGGGTATAGACAAGGGAATTGGCTGGGAAGGAAGTACATGTGAGATAGTGTGGGCCTGTGGGAGGCGTCTCTTACAGCAGCCCAGGGGCCAGAAAGTGGCATCTGATGAGACGATTTATAAGACAGCTACAAGATTCTGCCACTTTAGGATTCCTGAGAGGGATTGTGTTGGTTCTTTTGGAGGTTATTTTTTTCTTTTTAAGATTTTAGTTATTTTTTGGTGTAGAAGAACTAGGGTGCAGGCAGCAGTGTGGCAGAGGTCAGGTGGTGAGAGGATTCATCAAAGACAGAGTGAGGAGCAGGACAGACAGATATACTGAAATTTAAGGCTGAGGGGAGCAGCAGGTGAGACAGGAGAGGACTGCTGTGCCATGTGGATTAGCTCTCTGGCCCAGGATTGTCAAAGTGTACCTTCATGGTGATAGTGCTGAGACCGAATCCTTAGGGCACCAGGACGGCCCTCTTTCAGAATTTTATTATTTTTTAAAAAATTTATTTATGCATACAAGAGTTGAGGTGTAGGCCAGAGGTGTGGGGGAGAGGGGAACAGGCAGATTGACTGAAATACACTGCTGAGGGGAGCAGCGGGGCGAGAGAGAAGTCTGCTGCACCATATAGGAGAACTCCCTGGCTAGAACTCATGCTGCAATTAGCTTCATAGTGCTGAGACTTAACCCCTGTACCACCAGGGAGCCCCTGCTCTTTCAGAGTTTTAAAGTTGAAACACACATGGCAAGAATGTCTTGATCTTGAATTAAAAACTTGGGCCACTTTTTAACTAGAGAGAAAAACTGGTTACAATAGCAAGGGAAGGAGACTATGAATATAACGGTGGTACACAAAGACACTTGAAGGACAGGGAAATATACATATATCAGAGAGGGCTCCTGGCCTTAGTTGTAGAAAGTTTCTTTTAAAAGAGGGAAAAGAGGGCCCTCCCTGTAGGCGCAGCGGGTTAAAGCACAGCACTAAGAAGCTTAAGCCACTTCCGCATGAGTTCGATCCCCTCCTGTCCCAGAGGAGCTCCACATGGTACGGCAGACCTCTCCTGACCCGCCCACTGCTCCCCTCAGCAGTGTACTTCGTCAGTCTGCCTGTTCTGCTCCCCACTCTGTCCGTCAATCTGCCCCCCACTCTGTCCGTCAACCTGCCCCCCACTCTGTCCGTTTAATCTGCCTGTTCTGCTCCCCACTCTGTCCCTGGTGAATCCTCTCACCCTCCACATCTCTGGCCTGTACCCCCGTTCTGTACGAATAAATAAATAAATCTTAAAAAAAAAAAAGAGGGAAAAGAATAAAGGACACATATAGACGCAAGCAGGCAGAAAGAGTCGTCCCCGAAAAAAACAGGTTTGCTAAAAGAGAGGTCTGAATACTCACAGGCTGGCAGCCTTGACAGAAGATGGTACATGTTTGGGAGGCTGATGATATGCTCTGCTTAGGGTGTGTTGAATTTGAAGTACCTGTGGGACATACAAATTGAGACATGCAGCAGGTAGGAGATATGGGGGATAAAGATGAAGATTTGGGAAGTGCTGGTATATGTATGGAGATTTTCTAGGAGTATGTAGAGCATGGTAACCCGGTATTTTAGGGGCTGGGGAATTGTACCACTAACTCTATAGTCTAACCGGATGTAACTCTATAGTCTAACCGGATGTAGTCCAGGCTATTCTCCACCACTGAGTCCTGGGTGGAGGACCTGTTTGCCTGGGAGAGGCAAACGCCTCTCCCCTATTCTCAACATAGTACCGACAACCCTCCCTACTCCCCAACACCTCACCTGTATGTAAGGAAATGGCGTTGGCTAAATAAAGCAGATGAAAAGACCTGAATTTTATGGTACTTTGAAAGCTAGTGTCCCATGGGATTCCAATGACACATTCTAGAAGATTTGAAGGGAAGGGGTGGGGGGCATACCCACAGAGTTCAAGACACATGGATCCTGGCCTGGGCTGCAGCCCAAAGAAACCTCTTTACCCTTGAATATGTGATACATCTCCCCTACTCCATAAGGATCCATCAGATTCTGAAGGGCTGTAGTAGGAGTCATCCCCCACACTGCCATATTCAGGATAGGCCACCAAGGGGTGTCCATTACCATATATAACCTCTCCCATTTGAATGAGGAACAGGTATGAGTTGGAGGAGGGCATGTGTCTGTCGAAAAGTCAAAACTGAACCTCTCACCCCTCCTCCCACACCTCTGGTCTGTATTCCAGTTCTTGTATGCATAAATATTCTTTTTTTTTTTTTAAAGAAAACTCAAGACTTAGGGTTGTTGGGGGATACATAACTCATTCTTAGGAGGTTGGGGAGTTGTGCTGTTCACCAACTCCAGAAACAAGGTTCTTATGAATATTATAGAGCACTGACATATGACATTGTCATCCCTTCTCCATTGGTTATTGATAATCTCGCACAGAAAAGGATGAATGTCAGTATTAGAGGTTCTAAACTCCACTCTTGAGGAGTAGGGGACAGGGAGTTAGTAGTGTGCCAGTCTTGTGAGTAGGTGACAACAAAGGCCTTCTCACCTCTTTGCCCTATGCACAAACAAGCCCTTCATCAGACACCCTATTTCTGTCATTAGTGTCTCCATTCTTGACCAGTCCTCCCCCTTTGAATCTTCTCTTTGTCCTTTCTCTGTACTTTATAAATCCCTCATATTGGATCTCCCTGGTGACTTAAGGTGCTAAGTCTCAGCACAATGAAATTATCTATAGCTAATGTAGCATGAGTCCTACTCCCAACCAGAGTTAGCCCACATGGCACAGCAGATCTCTCCTGTCTCACCCGCTGCTCCCCTCAGCAGTGTACTTCATTGATCTGCCTGTTCTGTTTCCCACCGTCTCTGGTGAATCCTCTCACTCCTATACCTCTGGCCTGTACCCCAGTTCTGTGTGCATAAATAAATATTAGTGTTTCCCTTGCTTATCCAACTTAATGTCTTCCTCTCCTACCTCTCCTAGCTTAGTGCAGACCCTCAATGCCTTACACCTGGGATATTTTAATGAGCTCTTATTCTGTTTCATCCCTAACTGGTCTAACACCAACTGGAAATACTATATTATAGCTCTGATGCTGGCTACCCAGAATTAGCATCAGATTCCACAAGGCTACCTTCATTTCAGCCACAAATCTTAGGGATCCCTAGACCACCTACATTTCTGACCAACTGTATATTTATGGGGTCCTGCTACTTTCACTGGTTCAATAATTCACCAAGAAATGCTAGACTTGTAATTATTGCTTCAATGTAGGGCTACATATAGGCAAGATCTGGAAAATCACAGTTTCCCTGCTCTTTCCCCCAGTGAACACATTAATATGTTCCCCTGAGCCTTACTATCCAGAATTTTTATTGGGTTGATAGTAAATGGCTTAAATCTTCTACCCTCTAATCACAGGTTGGTCTTTCTAGTGTGGTCTGTCCCCATCCCCATCCCCCTCTCCTTAGCATAAATTATTAGGGCTCATCCTGAAAACAGAACTACTGTCACTTGGGAATTTCCAAGGATTTCTGTTTCCTTCCCAGGAGCCAGGGACAAGAGCAAGCAAGCTCTTTATTATTCAACATCTCACTGCTTAACCGTTTCTTAAGCAACAACCATGTAATAATATTTACAGGCTAAGCCCTGTACAACTCAGTGGGAAGCTAAAGACAGGTGATGGTACCTGCCTTCCAGATGCTAGAGTCTCTGGGGATTAGAGTTTATAATACAGTGAGGCCCATGCAGGGGGACGGGAAGGCCAGGAGTCATAGGCGCCCACAGAAGTAGTTAGCCCAGAATGGTTTTCGGCAGATCTGGTGATGAGCTAGCCAATGGAAAGAGGAAAAAGTTCTAGCCAGAGGACAGAGCATATGCAAAAGCCCAGAGGCATGAAAAAGGCTTATTCAACCAAAGGGCTGAGGTAAGGTTTAAGTGCCTTGTGTACAGAATATGAGAGGGAAATGGGGAGGTATGGGGCTGGAAAGTTCCGTGGGGTTCCGGGTGGCTGCTATAGAATCACCTTCAAACACAAGGACACACTTCTACAAACACTGTATTCGTGTTATCAGGTCTTTAGAAATAACTGGCTACTATTGATTGCCACAGGACTCTGCGCCTCCTTCCGATGCAATTTGCTGAATGGTAAATCAGGAGCACGGAAGCCTATGACATTACAGGAAGTGAACTATTTGCTCTAACTTGGAGTTCAAGAAGAAACACCTCCCCTTGAGTTTAAAGCATAGGTAGGGCACAGAGTACTTCAGAGCTGGGTCTCCTAAGCTGTTGGTCAGTCAACTTGGGTGCAGAAAAATTTCATTTACTTTCAGTGACCTCTTCACCAAAATTTAGCATCCCTTTGTGACTACAGATAATAAACTACAGTGGTATTAGTCGTAACCAAAAATTTTCAGAGTAGCAATCAGATATTATCACTCAAGTTTGAGTCGTTACAGATCTCTTGAACTAGAATTTATGCACACTGCTAATTTGATACTATATATATTAGACTAAGACAGTCTAATAATGTAACAAAGAACCTTTTATTATATCAAAAATCTGGGCTTTGATATAGTTAATTTTTTTATTCCTTTGTATTACATTTTATGACTTTGAAAACATTATTCTGAGTACGAATACACGAGGTCACCAAACTGCCAAGAGAATGCATGGTAGGAAAAAAAAGTTTTAAAAATCCTGCTTAATAGAAATATGCATTGCCCTAATTCTTTCCAAAGGGATGCTAGACTTTGGGTGTTGAGTCCTATCTCTCTGGTCTGAACCCAGTCCTGGTACCTCTTGGTGCATTCAAAGGTGGCAGGACATGGGTGGGCAGGCTCTGGGAGACCTGTCCCCAAAGCAAAGAAAGCCATCAGTTACACGCAGGGTACTGGATAAGAGAATGTCTGGGGGTGGGGGGAGGTAAAGAATCAAGCGGTTGCAACTAATCTGTCAGTCACATCCACATACCCTCTTGAGAAAAGTGAGTGTGGCAATCTATCTGCCCCATGATATTCATCTTGCTAGCCACAGCTAGATGGACAATGGATTTCATTCTGTTTGGCCAGTGGCCTGGAAACTGGGGAGCTTGCCAAATAGATACTCTCAGATTGTGTGACAACTAATTAAAACTGTTAGATCCTGTCTCTCAGGATATTTGAGTTTAAACTCACAGGGAGAGAACTGACTGTTGGGATGGCTGTGACATACATAAAGAGGAATAGGGCAAAAGAGAGGAAGTGGGGTCAAGAGCGGGAATATGCCCAAATTAGTGGGGCCTGCCAAACCACCTGCCCAGAGGATTAGCCCTGTATCTGTTATTTCATGGAGGCTGCTTCCTACCACCTGCAAGAGCCCACCTAACCTGTGCCCAAGAACTCTAGAATTGTGGCATGTCAGGAGTCCTGAGCTGCATAGAGTTCATGGCAGAGCAGGACTTCAAACATGCCAGAGAAACAAAATAAGGAAATTGGGGAACTTTTCTTCTTCAGTCTTCCTAACCTAGTCTGACTTCCTCTTAGTATGAACACTGCCTTTTGTGCCCAGTGCTATGGACCTATTAAAGTCTATGCCTTTTCAGGTTTCCTCTCTCATAACTGCTCATAAAGCAGTTAGTGCTGGTATTGCAACTAAGGGAGAGGGGACAGGCAGAGAAAACACAGGGTCCAGAGAAGAAAAGGGGGCCAGAGAAATCTGTTACTCCCCATGTGAGAAAAGCAGGAGGCAGATTGTTCTAATCTGGTGCCCTACGTGCCCCATGTCTTTTGGGGCCTATAATAATCCCCCCCTCTTTAGGGTTCCTCATGGATCAAACCTATCCTACTCTGTCCAGAAATAGATTCAAATTCAGGTACATCTGTATCTCCTTTAATTGTGATACTTTAGAGATGAAAAAAAAATGAAACTCAGAGAAGTCTAATGCTGGCCATTAAGAAGTCAGAAATGAAAGTGTTGTATGCTCTATAAAAACTGTGCACATGGCCACCTCTCCAGCCTCAGCATTCAGAGCTCCCTGCTACCCATTCCCCACCACACTCCTTGCCAAATTCATATATTTGCATTCCCCAAACTATGCCCTCTCATCTCCAAATCTTTGCTCTTGATATTCCTCTGGAGCCAATACTCCTGGGAAGCTCTGGTAAATTTTCTTTTTTTAAAGATTTAGTTTATTTATGCATACAAGAACTGGGGTACAGGTCAGAGGTGCAGGGCGGGCGGGGTGTGTGATTCACTAGAGATAGAGTGAGGCGCAGAACAGGCAGATGTATTGAAGTACACTGCTGAAGGGAGCAGCAGGTGAGACAGGAGACCCATGTGGGTCAGCTCCCTGGCCGGGGATGGAGTGCTGCAGTGGCTGCCGATACAGCTTCATAGTGCTGTGCTTTAACCTGTGATGGCACCAGGGAGGGCCCTGGTGAATTTTCTGAGTCAACCTTTAAGACTTAAAGTATATTCCTCTATTCCTTGTATACCTTGTATCTTTATCTCTTCACATAGGGCCTGGCAAGGTCAGTGACCAAAAATTATGTGGTCCTTTGCCCCAATGTCACAAAATTATTAGGGTCCTAAAGTATGATCAGCCCTTGGAACACTGTGGGTGGGATGACCTCAGGATGAGGTGAGTGCAGTTCTAGGCTGGGAACTTAGGTGACATCGGGTGGTGGCTAGGGTTCCAGATTTCACACTATTTAATCACTCAACAATACATAATGGTTCTATGATATACTAAATGCTCTCCCAGGTGCTGGGGATCAAAGACAATGGAGAAATTGGCTGGGAGAATATACTTTAACTGAAACTTGAAGAACACTCTAAAAAAAATATAAAAGAAAAACAGGATTTAATCCCTGCTTTTGTGCAGGTGTGTGTGGAAGGGGAATTGCTCTCCTCCCCACGCTGCCTTCCCAAGGCAAAGATTTAAGGGGGATTAGCTATATAACCCCTAAGTTGGGACTCATTTCCAGAAAGGTGTGAGGCCTGAATCCTAACCTGGCTCCACACCTGGCCCCATTGTTCCCCTAATTCCTCGCATCGGATCTGGGAATCTGATCTGGAATTAGCGGTCTGGTTGGCAGCTCATTCACGGACCAGAAGCCTCGTGGACTAAAGTGAGACCCTGAAAATTATTCTCCCCTGACTGAAGACCTCACCCAAACAGCAGTCCCGTGGAGGAACTACTTCCCTAAGAAGGGTCTCTCCGGCAACCTTCTTAGAAGGTGCGGCCCCTTTAAAGGAGACTGGCGGGCGAGGAGCGGTGACCACCGCGCAGTCAGAAGTTCCAAAACCCTCCTCGCTCTAGGTCGACCCCGCAGTCCCGCCCCCAAGCCCTCCCGAGAGCTTGGCTTCCGGGGCCGCGCTCCTGGGCACCGCCCCCAAGGCGCGGGCGCCGATTGGCCAGCGCAGTCATAGGGTGGGGCCAAATCTTAAAGGGTCGGGGCGGGTAAAGCGCCGAGGCCGTGGTGGCCGCTTCCTAGCGCCGAGAAGTGATGTCACGTGGTCCCATGGGGGTTTCTTTTAAATCTCTCTGAAGTCCCATACCCCAGTCTTGGGCCCATGGAGCCTTCGCGAGACTATCCATTGTTCGGGGGCGCCTTCTCAGCTACGCTACCCGCCGGGGCCATTGACGTGAGGTGAGAAGGCCGGGGCGCCCACGGGTGGGTTGCGGGAAGTAGTCGGGGCCCAGTAGGGTCTGCTCCGCCTCTCCCCAGCGACCTCCGACCAGTCCCAGACAACCAAGAGGTCTTCTGCCATCGCGTGACGGACCAGAGCCTGATCGTAGAACTTCTGGAGCTGCAGGCCCACGTGCAAGGCGAAGCAGCTGCGCGGTGAGGGAGGCGGGCCCGCGGGTGGCTAATGGGAGAAAGGGAAGGGGGGCCGGGGGCGGGGCGTCTGGCTGGACGGTTAATCTGGGCAATGAGAACTCCAAGGGCAACAGCATATCGCGGGTAGTGAGCGAGCCTTAGAATTTAGAGATGCTGGGGACGAGGGTCAGTGAGAAATGCCCTCCTTGCCACTGCTTCCCCTACTCCAGGTACCACTTTGAAGATGTTGGAGGGGTGCAAGAGGCAAGGGTTGTGCAAGTGGAGGCTGTGCAGCCCCTCCTTTTGGAGAACCTAGCCCTGCGGGACTGCTGTCAAGAAGCTTGGGTTCTCTCTGGCAAGCAGCAGGTAGCTAAAGAAAACCAGCAGGTGAGGGCCAGGGGAGTGAGATGTCCTGGAGGGGTGGTAGGGGTGGCCGGAGGGACCACATCAGTACCTGGACTCTGATCCCTTTAGGTAGCAAAGACTGTGACATTGCACCAGGCCCTGCTGCGATTGCCCCAGTACCAGACTGATCTCCTGCTCACCTTCAATCAGCCCCCGTAAGGAGGACAGAAAGGTCACATAGCTCATAACTGGGTTCCCAGGAGACTCAACTGGGAGGTGCAGAGCAGGGAGACTGGCTGGTGAGGTTCTCCTAGAAAGCAAGTGTGGGCCAGAGGTTTGGGGTCACAGATTCCTAGGTCTTCCGGGGAACAGGAAGTGGGAACTTCCAAACCTGAGACCTGGATGATATTCTCTCTCTATTTGTTCCCCCACCCCCAAGTCCTGATAATAGGTCACCTCTTGGCCCTGAAAATCTGTCACCAAGGCCCTGGAACCTGGGTGACTTTGAACAGCTGGTGACCAGTCTGACCCTTCACGATCCCAACATCTTTGGTCCCCAGTAAAGATGCTGAAACACTGCATGATGCTGTTGAAGACATGGGGACCCAGTCTGCAAGGGGGACAAAGAGGTGGATGTATTCCCCTCATTCCTCCCCCATGCATAAACATAAGACACATCCTCTCTGAAGAAATAAATTTGCTTTATAACCAATATAATCTCTGTGCCTTTGAATCTAATAGGACACCTCGGGGGTGGGGGGCAAGTTTAAAGTTATCCCCTTCTGGGATCAGAAGGGATCCAAGGCTGGCAGTGGAGAAAGGGAGGAAATATACTTTGGAGTGACTGATTCAGCCCTGAGAGGGTTGTGAATATACAGAGAGAGGGTTGGGAAGGTTTAAAGCAACACCAAAGAAAGGAGAGAAACTATCCTTTGTAGTGATTCAGCCCTGAGAAAACATGGGGAGTAGAGTTGGCTGTCTCCCTCACACGGATGAAAGGTCACCTGGTCAGAAGTCACCAGGACAGAGAATTTGAGGCAGAAGTGTCCAAGGAGTGCTGATTTGTGGCATGCGGAAGAATGGCTATCATTTGGTGTATGCATAGTAGAGGATGCGCAGCTGGTCCCAGAAGAAGAGGGAGAGGATGGTGTGGGGGCCAAGGCGGAAGTAGGAGGCACCTATACCCTTGTACATGCCAAAAATCCCCTCTGTCCGAGCCGTCTGCAGTAGAGCGTCCAGTATTCCTCGGTACATGAGGCCCTGAGAGCAGGTTGCAGAGGGAAGGAGAGCACAGGGAAGGAGTTTGTCAGAGCCCACGAGAGGCCTCACCTCTGCAGGCTGCATTGTAGGCTGTCCTGCCTGCAGCTACAATCTGCTTTCCCCATCCCTCCCACCTCTCCCTGCCTGCCCATACCCCAGAGCACTCCTTTACCTTGCCCTGGGCATCTGTGGGCTGGTTGTAGAGTCTTGTGCAGGCCACATCAAAGGGTGTCATGGCTAGGACCACTGCAATGCCACTCACCATGGCCGCTGCCAGAGCCACCTTCCAGCTCTGGGGAGGAAATATCTAAAGGGGGGGAGAAAGCTTTGTCAATCAGTCTGTCATTCAATCATTAGGAAAGGACTAGCTCTGTGCTAGGGATACAGTGTAGAGCTAGTAGCACAGGGAGTGTCCACTCTAATAGTGATACACAGTGTATGTGATAACACTGTGAAGAAGAAAGGGCAGGATGCCCTAAGGACTCCAGTAAACTTTCAGGGGGAAGGGGGGAAAAAAACTGTGTGACGGATATAGTCAGTGACCCCAGAGCACTCCTGCTGTTCCCTCATATTGAATATCCCCTCTAGGGTCCATTTCAGTTTGCCCTCCCGCTGCCCACGCTCCCAGAATGAGACCACCCCTTCCCCAGGCAGTACCTCCCACTGAGTCAGGAGGTCCTTGGTGGATGAGAAGGTGCACAGCTGGGTGGAGGAACCGATGACAACTCGGGGCATGCCACCTAGAGCCCCACGCCACAACCCCACCAGGCCATGTTTCTGGCCAATCTCGGTTAGTGCTTGAAACATGCCCTGGTGGGGGGAAGACCATGGGTGCAGGGTTCAGTCATCCCAGCATCAGAGACTTCAACCACCCAACACTGCCAAGGATGGGTCATTAGGAGGCACATGAGGTCTAAATAACTAGTCCTTGGTGGGTTTGGAGCAAGGATGTGGCTCCTCAGCTGCCTACCACACCTCGTTCATATCCAGAATAGGCGCAGGGTGCATTGGTCATGAGAATGGGGCAGGAGAAAACAGGTGTGGAAGACTAGGGAAACAGAAACATTGTGGGAAAGCGGGTCTAGGTGGACTCCAGGGATAGAGTGGGGCTTAATCGATGGGTTAGACAGTATGATGGCGGGGTTGGAGTTCAGGCAGGAAGTAGGGTGGGGGAATGGGAATGCGGGTGGTGCAGGGAGTGGCAGGGACTCCACAGAATTGGAAAACCCTCACCTGATGCTTATACTGGTGTCCTACAGCAATTTCTGAGGCTGCCTGTGCCTGTAGGTGTGTCTTCACCTGGGGAAAAGAGAGTATCACTGCCTATGGTCCACTGGCCATCCTCCCACCTTAGAGGCTGAAATGTCTGACCCCTCACATTTCCTCTAGGGTGTTCAGCAACAAATATACTTTTAATCTGATAATTATTGTTGTTCCCACTTTACAAATTGGTCATGAGACTCTGTGTCCCTTGGCTCTAGTCTCAGGGGGATGGATCTCCTAGCACTACAAGACAACCCACCTCGTCTCTATTCTCCTTCCCTTGGGGATAGGTGTGGGGGATGGAGAGGTTGGAGAAAGACAACATTAGCCAAGACCTGGGTATCCAGACTCTCATGCCAGCTCTCACTCTCAGACTAGATTTCTAGCCACTACCCTAACCCAGCTCCTAGCAGATCCAGGCAGACTATGAGGCAGTTTGCTGAATCTGCATAAATTTGCCCTCTAGTCCCCAAAACCCATGTGCCCAGCTGAATTTGGAGAGGCCACTGTCCCTGAATTTCATAACCTGGGAGTGAGACCTTCTTTCTTTGTATGGAACTCCATGCCTCCCAGGAACTTCCCAGAAGAAGGACTAAATAGTGTTCTTTCCTTGCAATAAGCAGCTATGTGACCTTGAGCTGGTCACTACCCCCCCTTTAGGTCTCAGGGTACCAACCCTTCCACCAGATACCTCAAAGAGTGAGACTATAATTCTGCAATGCCCAGGATATTTGATCCCAACACTCTCATGTATGTTACTCAGATTCCTTAACCTCCACTATACAAATCTACTTTCAACCTCAATAAGAGGTTGTAAAACCCAGCCCCCACCCTGATATAAGGTCTGCGCTGAAGGCCCCAGCAAGACCCTTCTTCTCACCATGTAGATGGGGCTTCCCAAGTAGGCTCCCATGACCCCAGCCAGGGCCCCAGCGGCAGCACTGCGCGGAGGGCTGAGGGAGCCTTCGGCTGTGTGCAGGTAGCCCCCCGCCTCAGCCAGCCCGTAGGTGCCCAGCCGGATGCCATTCATTAAGAACTGGTATAAAAGGGCAGGGGCTAAGCCCTTCTGCAGAGCAGCCAGGCCATCCACTTTGCCGATGGTGATGAAGGCATGGAAGACGTTTCGGTAATGCCTCGGGTAGGTGCCAGGTGCCTGTAGTTCTCCCTGCAACTGCATCCTGGTCTTCACCACCTCCAGGGGGTTGGTGAACAAACAGGCCCCACAGGCTGCCAGGCCGCTCATCAAGAAGTCCATGGTGGGGTAGCAGTAGCAGGAACTGACCCAGGGGTAAGAAAGTCAAAGTGAGTTTCAGTAGTCACAAATCACGGGGAAGACTTCAGTTTCAGCAATCCAGGTTACAGGATGTGAGAATTTAGAAGTCTGGAGTCAAGAAAGTCAGGGTCAAATGTCAAGAGGTCAAGGGTTAACTGGAATCTGGGAGTCAGGGGCTAGCAAAGGGAAGAAGGAGGCGAGAAGGTTATGACAGGGACTAGCTGGTCAAGGAGGCAGAAGCCAGGAGAGCAGGTGGGATGCTACGTCTATGGGGGTCTGGGAGTAGGGGAGGGAAAAGCGGAGTTGGGAGACGGGATTCGGAGAGGGGCGGTGGCGGGAGGAAAAAGAAAACCAGGAGGAAAAGGATCCGGGAGAAGATCCGGTGGCGTCCCCGGGACAGCAACGAGATCTGAATCTGGGAAGGAAGTCGGTACTCAGTCCAGGGATGAATGTCCCCAAGCAGCTGCAGCAGCCCGCAGCGGCTAGGGCCCTGGTAGCCTGCGGAGGCGGGGCCGCCACGCTCCGGTCATTGGAGGGCGGCGCCCAATGGGGAACCTGCGAGAGCCGAGAAGCCGCAGCCTCAGCCAATCAGCGCTGAGCCGGCTCCTGGGCCAATGGGAGGCGCTGTCGGCCACCCGGTCCCTGGAATCCGCTGGGGGGCGGTTAGAATTAACTCTCCCCACCCCGCCTCAGAGCCAGGCCCCAGACTCAGGTCTGGGAGGGGACCCCGGAGCGCCGAGGTTTTTATCAGCGGCGCGGAGATGGGGCTAGAGTCTTGCTTCCTGGACTGGCGCAGAGGACACGTGCGGAGGCACCAGTGTCCCAAGGGTGACTGAGACTGCTGCTTTGGAGGACGAAGGGCTCCCCTCCTTCACGGTCTCTCCCGGGTCCTCGCCAGGCCGTGTTATCAGCTCTCGGTCCACGCCCGGCTGGGTTCGGATGGCGGGGGAGCGCGGAACTAAGGCTCCTCCCGCGGGGCAGACGGGACGCAGCTGCTGGACGAGACTGATCTCCCGAGGCTGAGTAAAGCCGGTTCTAGTGACGGGTGTGGCTAGCTGCAGGCGCTGAGGGAGGGAGGGAGGTCTGAAGAACGGTGAGGGCGTAGTCATATCCCTGCCCATGTTCTGCTTTTTTGATCCTCACTGCACCCCAGAGAAAAAAGGGCAAGCCAAGGCAAGGATTTTAATGTCCCGCATATAACTAACCGGGCTTGGGTTACACCGGGCTAGCAAGTGGTAGGGAAGGTCCTGACCTTAATCGTGGGAGAATTTTGAGAAAAGAGATGGGGGAAGTAGCTGGGAAGGGGCTGAGAGGGCAAACTTGGAGGAAGTAGACAGTTTCGCTGGCGGCATGTGGGTGGATACAGGCTCGCCACGTGTGAGGCAGCTCCCAGACTTAGAATAAAAGCACCATTAGAGTTCCAGTTTGGGTCTTCCTGCTTACCAGCTAGATGGCCCTAACCACGTCATTTAACACCTCAGTCTCCTTGGGAAAGTGAGAACACAAATATCTAGGGCACATACCTTGAGTGAAAGTATTAGGCTTGTATCGTGTGTTCAACGACCAGGTTTCCTGAAAAGTCAAGAGCTGTAAGGGCGCTGTGCTGTTATGTATCCTGTTCCCACTTCTGAAAATGTCCTTGCCTCCTTATTGTGGAGATTTCCAAATGGTTCTTCACCTTGAGCCTGGTCTTACCTAACCCTTGAAGTGTTTCCAAGTTCACGTTCAGGCACTCCCATCCAGCTTTGTTCCTCAAACTTTTACCTTCGGCTTCCCATTCTGATTAGCATTTGTTTACTCTAACTCTTTCATCCATCACTACACTGGGGGAGGGGCCTGAGTCATCTGTAGCTCACCAGGGTTCTGCTAAGTCTTTGAGCCTAGGATGAAGCAGGAGAGGAAGGTAAAGTAGAGCAGCAAATGGGATTTCTCAAAGGGGCTATGAAAGTGTCTCCTAAAATTTTCCAGGGAATGCTCCCCAAATACCTCCACCAGTTGTGTTACAGGCCAGGGAGAGAGGGGCACCACTGAAGCCCCAAACCTGCCTGCTCTAAGTGGGTTCTGCCATCCACAGCATCAAGACAAAACATGTAAAACTTTAATGAAAAGGGACTTTAATGCAGTGAATATACAATATGGAACACAAAGAATATAATTTCTAAATCAAACACCTGAAGTTACCCATCCCCTCGTGGGAAGTCCACCCAAAAGGGATTGGTCCAAAGCAAGGCCTGAAAGCTGCCTCAAGACTAAAGCACCTTCTGGCCCGGACCCATAGAAAAGGGTCAGAAATGGCCAGACAAGTCTGGGAGGAAAAGAGCACAATCAAAATCAGTATAAACACGGCCATAGTCACCTCCCTACAGGTCTCTCACCCACATCTGCCTTAACCAGTCCAGGGCCAAGAAACAAGCACGGTTTCTTCATGACATGCTTGCTGCTCCATGTGGCTTCCTCAGGTCTCCTTCTGCCTCTCCATCTTGCTTCCTTCTCTCTCTATTCCTCTCTTCAGCTCCACCCTCCTTCTGGGTGGGGCAGGGAACCTGGAACTTCCCCTTTTCCTAGGCACCACCCTGTTACAGTTGGATGGGACAGAGCTCATTATTGTATTTATCCTTGAGGTTACACCAGTGGTTCTCAAATTGTGGTCCTTGAAGGAGCAGCAGCCGCACCTTGGTATGTGTAAGATACAAAGTCAGTCCCCTGTCCTGTGCCAGAAACTCTGGAGGTGGAACTGATAATCTGTTTTAACAAACCCTCTACATAGTAAATTTTTAGCACCTCTGGCTAACTCTTATCTTTGATATTCAGATGGCCCTTGAAATAGACAACTTCTGTAATTTTTTAAATAAGCTTAAGTTTCAGATTTACAAAAAAATTGTTCAGATTTTATGAATCCCATATACTCCACATCTAGTTTCCTGTACTAACATCTTGCATTAATGTACTATATTGTTATAATTAATGGACCAATATTGACATATTATTATTTACTGAAGTCCAAATTTTATTCAGATCTTCATTTTTGTTTCTGTTCTAGGATCCCATCCAGGATACCACATTATATCAGTTGTCAACTCCTTAGAACGCTCTTAACTGTGACAGTTTTTCAGACTCCTTATGTAGATGACTGGCAGTTTTGAGGAGTACTGGTCAGGTATTTTGTAGAATGTACTGTTGGGTATTTTTTTCCTCAAGATTGGACTGAGGTTATAGGTTTTGGTGAGGAAAATTGACTGCCATTTTCATCATATCATTTCACTGGTGCAGTTAGATACATACTATCAAAATGATTAATTTCTGTTGAGATGATGTTGATCACCTGGCTAAGGTAGGGTTTGCCAAGTTTCTCTACTGTAAAGTTGTTCTTTTTCCCTCCTTTCCATCTTGTTCTTTGTTTTCTTTGGATGGACATCATTATGCACAGCTAGAATTTAAGGAGTGAAGAATTAGTTTCCACTTCCTTGTGAGAGAAGTGTCTACATAAATTATTTACAAGTCTGTATGAAAAATTTGTTGCCCCCATTTATTTATTTAGTCAAGCATCTCTTCAATGTCGTTCTACCAATATGGGCTCATGGATATTTATTTTATACTTTTGAGTTATAATCCAAAATACTTTATATATTTTGCTTAATTGTTCTGTTTGACCCGTGGGAGCTCTTTTACTTGGTTCTTGTGTTTCTTTACATATCCCCATCATTTTTAATTTTTTAAAAAATTTTTTTGCATAGAAGAACTGTGGTTTAGGTTAGAGGTGGGGAGGAGAGTGAAAGGATTCACCTGAGACAGAGTGGGGAGCAGAACATGCCGATCTACTGAAATACCCTGCTGAGGGGAGCACTGGCCAAGACTAGCTCTCTGGTGGGTAAGGAACTCAGGCTGAACTCAGGCTGGTGTGGTGATGGCGCTAGGCTACCAGGGAGGGCCCCCATCATGTCTAAAAAATCAAAGCATTTGAAGCATTTTTTTTTAACCTCCTGGTACTACAATGCTTGAGGCTCATTTTGTTTAATTTTGCCCCAATCCTAGAATCAGTCATTTCTCCAAGATGGCCTGGTTCCTTTTACTGAAGAATGGTGTTAGAAATCAACATGTGGGCCTCACTGGTGGTACAAGGGGTTAAGCCTCAGCACTATGAAGCTATCAGCAACCACTGCGGCACTAATTAGATCCTCGGCCAGGGAGTTAATGCACATGGCACAGCAGACCTCTCCTGTCTCACCTGCTGCTCCCCTCAGCAGTGTACTTCAGTCAGTCTGCCTGTTCTGTTCTCCACTCTATCTCTGGTGAATCCTCTTACCCTCGCCCCAACTCTGGCATGCACCCCAGTTCTTGTCTGCAAACATAAATAAGTCTTTTTTTAAAAAAGAAACCAAAATGTCTTTTCCCTACTAGGTATGTTTGTAGCCACTGCTTCTACACCCTCTCAACTAGGAGTGCAAGTATAAATATGTAAATATAGGTGGGTATATTGACCCATGTATACACAATTATCTATAGATATTTCAACACACTACCATTTATCATATGTCTATGTTAAGCTAAACATGAGTTCATACTGAAGTCTCCAACTCCAGTCTATTAGTACACGGATCATTCTAGTTAGGCGGTGCTATGCTTATCTGTAAACTCTCCATCAATGAGTTTACAGGCTCTTACCACCTGCTACCTTTACTTAAATTGTTCAATTATAGTTATACAAGTGTTAAAAACCAAAATTCATCAAAAATACATCTAGAGCTAATCAGCTTTATTAAATGATTCATGAATCAGATAGCATCTCTCTAACAAATAGGAGTTTTTTTGTTTTTTAACAAAGTGGAAGTTTTTATATTCAGAAAGAGAATGGGACCAAAAGGGGAAAATTAGTTCATATAAAACTACCTTCCCTTGGGGCTAGAGGAGTGTCTTCACCTGCAGAATACTTGCTAATGCTGACCAGGAAACCAAAATGCCAGCCTGATTGATTTAAATGCCACTTTGGGAAGAAGCTGAAACAAACTAACTTAGGTGTTAAATCATACCATAAAAGCTCCATTTGGGATTTATTGTTTATTTTTTGAAAGATTTATTTATTTATGCAGACAAGAACTGGGGTACAGGCCAGAGGTGCAGGGGGATTCACCAGAGACAGAGTGGGGAGCAGAACTGGCAGATTGCAGTACACTGCTGGGGGGAGCAGCAGAGGTCTGCTGTGAGACAGGAGAGGTCTGCTGTGCCATGTGGGTCAGCTCCCTGACTGGGAATCAAACTCCTGCCTCAGTGGCTGCTGATAGCTTCGTAGTGCTGCACATAACCCCTACCACCACCAGGGAGGCCCCTTGTTTATTTTTTTAACACAAAGTATGGGAGTGCCAGAATTGTTAACCTCTAGCCTTATGGAAAACGACCTATCAGTTAGAATTCAGTGTTTATGTGCAGTTTCTTTTTCCTTTAGTCTTACAGACTCTATTTCCAAAGTTACTTAGGTCAGCCCCTTCCCTGCATATCCCCTGTCCTCTCCAGTAAAGTTGTTTCTTGCATTGTAATGTAGTTAGATTTGGTAACATGCTATATTCCTTCCTAGGGATACAGTTGGA